AAAAAAAAAAAAAAAAAAAACGCAAAAACGCAGGAGCCTGAGAAGGAGAAGGAGAAGGAGAAACACAGGAGAGAAAGAGAGAAGGGGCGACCAAAAGACTACCTGCCTTTCTCTCTGGGTCATCACAACGCAGGGAGAGAGAAGGAGCAACAAGGAGACCAAGTGCGAAGTCAAAACAAAGCTTTCGGGCTAATATCAAAAGTGCCCAGACTTTGACCATCGCGTCTCCGCCATCTCCATCCCCCAATCCCCATACTCATCTCCATACCCATTCATACTGTTACCTTACAGTGCATACCCTACCCTACTCCTTCTTTGCAGCACGCACTTCATTGTACAGTACCGCTTGGATACGGAACCACCGTTACGATCCCACTTACGATTATTCTGGAGCTGTTGTTTTCTTCTCTGCCGTGTGACCCCCCAGAAAATCACCATCCCGGACGCCAGATAACCACGAATCGCCCTAAACCATGACGACGGCCCCGTCTTCGGGCTCTTCTCGGCCTGCAACTCTATCTGCATCAGAATCAGCACCAACGCAAGACTCATCGTCATCTGCCGGGGAAGTCCCTATCGTTCCTACTGTGGAGGTTCAGCACTTGGCCCGCTTTGAGTTCAGTGATGCTGGTACAAAGGTTCTTATGGTGGAATGGTATCCCGATGCCGTTCCAGGCCCCGCTGCATCTGCCGATCCTTCCACCAACTCCTCCGGTGTGAACTCTGCTCCGGCTACCGATAAGGTCTCCGCAACGGGGCCGGCTTCGGACTCTGCTCCGGAGGAAAACATAGACACCGTCGACAACGCCTCCTGGCAAGTGTCATGGCCCGGCAAGTCTACTAATCTTCCTGCACCCGATCTTGAACCTGCTCCGGACGCGGGAACTTCCCCTGAGTCCTCAACTCGACGACGTCGCCGCCGGGTCTTCTTTCTGCTTCCAGCCAATGCCACTGTTCCTTCTACCATCACCATCACCCCGCCCGGCGCGCCCAGCTTGAACCTTAAGCCATTACCGGCTATCTTTCCCCCCGGCCTTGCCGCTGATCCAGGAAATCGAGGAGTTCTGCACACATTGTGGGCCCGGCAACGGCTGGCAGCAATAGATCGTGAGATCGCAGATGAGTTACGCAACAATGCCGAGGGTGTAGGGGTTGAAATCGCACTCGAAGAGAGGAGATGGATTCTCGAAACATTCATCAATCCACCTCAGTTACCTGCTGATTCACACCCTCATCCGGCAGCCACCCGTTCAACAACGGGCCGTTTAGGAGATAAACTCAAGGGTCTCAAGCTGGCTACATCACCTGCAGATCTAACGCCCAGCACAACAGGTACACATATGTCCTTTTATTCCATTTTTATTACATCAACTGAACTAACATTGCGCAATGTAGCCAACACCTTCATGAGTCCTATAAGCCAGTCTCATCCATTTCAACCCCAAGGCCGTGATATTGCTGTATCTTCCCATGAAGCCATGTCCACCAATGCACCTGCAGGCCCCATCTCACTCAACGCTGCACTACATGGCGATATCATCACTGCTGCTTCGGCGCCTGCCAGATCTATGGGGCACGATGACGACGACGGTCTATTTGCTTTGCCCATGAGCCCTCGTAGTCCAGATATGAAGAAGAGTCCTTTCAGTGCTTTGTAATATCAGGTATATACCTTTGTTATGTTTGGATTCGATAGGCAGATGGGAAATCTTGGACGATTTAGGAACACATCAGAAGATACCCATGTTGTAGAAGCGTTGATTGCAGTGCCGATATGGTGCTTGGCAGCACATGATGAAGCTATTGTTTAATAGTAACAGATGCAGAACTGTGAAGTAATTGTTTATCGACGAGTCGTAGTGAGCTGGTTATACAGAGTGCCTATGACATGTCAACACATCTTCATAACTTATTGAGGTTGGTCTTGAATAAATACAACACAGGGCAAACTCAGTAATTGTGCTGTTAACATCAAGTACTCGCTTCATATCAAAGTCCAGATTTCTCATCTCCATCCTCCCACACGACCTTCATCCCATCTCTGCTTCCTCTCCTGCCTTAGGTAAAACTGCACCTTGGCCTCCCGGTATCTACGCACCCAATCTGTAACCTCTCTTTCCGTCGCTGCTACACCCTCTCCCTCACCCTCAAGAAAGCTCTCTTCCATAGCCTCACATACTAATGCCTGCTCCTGCACACCTTGTCCTAATTGCTGGTACAGCGCCGAGGGCGAGAACGGCGCCAACGCGTGGTCCATATCAGACTGCTTCTGCCGCCATTGTCGTTCGAGTGTATGTGTTGAGAGAAGCTGCGCCTGTGTCGATGCGCGCTGGTGCGATAACCGTGCTTCCATATCTGTAAGTTGGCTTGCGAGCTCAATGTTCTCGTTAAGCGCGGCTGATAGAGCCTGATGCGAGGCTTGTAGAGATGGGTGAATAGACTCGGGGGAGTGTGTCAGAGCATTGAGTAGATCTGGATTCGCGAGCAGCTCAGCTAAGTCTTGTTTTCTGATGAAATCAGTCAGCGCAAGGGCCCTCAAGTTTATTCAGTCATGACGTACGACTTATCCTGCAATATTCGAGGAAGCCATTGATCGCCTGGGTCGGGTATGGATGTCGGCGCAGGATTCACATTATTAGATGGGATGCGGCCTTCGGATGGTGGAGGGACGCCGGCTGAGGTTGGTGTCGCAATGCGACTCGTCTCATGGCTACCAGGTTTGGGAGGCGGAACAGGAGGTGTTGCGCCTTGCAGCTCTGATGCGAAGCTCGCCATTGGTGTTGTCGCGGTTATTTGGTGCGTGTGATATATAGTCTTCGGGTACAGCTGTAATATGGAAAGAATTCTTGATGACGTTGCTGCTTCGTTGAGGTTTGTTGGAGGTTGAAGATGGAGGTAGAATGTGGGGGAAGCTCCTACTTGGGTGGCTTGACATGGATCCGTGTCGTGCATGGTCCGTGACGTGGCTTTGAGCCAGTTTGATATCAGCAACACTAAAGTTAAACCACATCGATTTGTATCAGGACATGATTGGGTAACGGAATAGATAGGTAATTTCTTCATTAAGTTAATGCCATCCTGCTCATATTTTACGGACACTCCTCGCCCCAAATGTTTTACAATTCATGTCCCTGTCCGCCTTTCAAAGAGATACTTTCAGTATACAACGCCCAACAGATGAAGCGATCGGTCGTCAATAAGCTGACGAACGATCAATTATGGAAGAGAAAGATGAAACCTCTCCTTATGGCTTGACAGACCATAGGTCTCGAGACCAACCCAACTCCCGTACCTTCTTGCTGCTGCTGCCAGTCGTTCTTCTCTCACCAGTAGTGCTGATAGCCAACGCCTTACTGCACGCCGCGAATACCTCTACTAGCTCCTTCATTCGCCCAGCTTCCACAAACGCTGTCGAAAGATCGGAGTCACGCTCTGCAATGATAGAGGCGAGCTCCATGCATTCCAAAAGGTTGTCCCGGGACAAGCCGGTGCCTGCGAAGTGCAGCGTACCGATATATGCCAGGACTGTCTCGGGGAGATAAGCCTGACGAAGGTCTTGTAATTCTTGATCACCTTCTGCTTGATTGTTAGTTTAGGCGGAGTTTTTGAAGTGTGTATTGACGTACCCTCAATGCCCACCAAGAGCCAGTTCTTAAGCAAAGGTTGCATGTTCTCCTTGGTGTTCTTGACCTCCTCCCCTATAGCAGGCCAGAACCCAGCCTTCTTCTTTTGCTCCCTGCGACCTGTTAGCAACATGATCATACGCATCTTTGCGTATAAGACGTACTCATTTGTAAGCTCAGCCAACGATGCAACTGTCTCGAGGCTATCGAGGGCTCGTACTAAATACTCGAGTTCACGGAATTTGCGGGCATCTGAGAGTGCTTGCTGTGCTGTCACGTCACGAATTCCTCTCCGTTCAAGCTGCTTCGCCCAGAATTCAGGAGCGTCTTCGTACATATCCGTCTCATCACCACTATCTTCTGTGGCTGCCTGCAAAACATCCGCAAAAGGCACACGTTTCATCAACTGGCGAGCAGCGTTGAGGTGCATGTTTTCTACCAAATCGTTAGTGCCCGAGTCGATTCTATAAAGGGAGGAACTCACGCAAAAAGAACTTGTAGATTTTAGTTCCCATCGTGAAGACACTTGGCCATGTTTCTTGCACAAGTAGGAGCCATTCTAATGATCGGATAAGGTTTTCGTGCGCTGTGTCGATAAACCTCTCATCATCACCGAAGAAGTCTGCTCGTACAGGTCGACCCAGTCGTGCTGTAGGTGGACCAGCAGCAATGATGCTGAAAGATCCCTTGGCCGGGCATCCTTGCTGCGCTGGGCCCAAGTCATCATACATCAACCACGCTTGGGTTTTGACGAATTGAAGCACATCAATGCCAGCCTTCTTGATAAGTTTGAGCTGCAACAAACGTTGCTGATTATCACTCTCCGGGATAAGGTTGTAGCTCAGCACCTCATATGACCGAGGAGGCTCTAGGACTGAGCAGTAAAGCGGTATTAACTCCTGGAGTTGGGCAAGACGCAGGTAATTGGCATAGCCAGCGAGAAGGTTCTGCTGAGCACGCCTTACCCCCGAATCGGAAGAGGCAGGGGCGAGTGAATCATCATTGGAGTGGAGCTTATCGAGTAAGTTGATGAGAAGGTAGATGTGTGCAACGATTCGCAATCCGTAGTGTTGGGTAGACTGGAAAAATCTCTCTTTGTTCAGCTCAACGTTTTCGGGCTCCCACCTAAACAGCATTGATTCGCTCTGATTCGCGTTCGAGGATATGATTACGCCCTGCTCATAAAGATGCCTTCCAATGTCTTTGGAAACCAGTGACGCCTGCAAAGCCTTGTTAGGCTCGTTGGCTTCAGCCCGAATTTGGGGATTAGACTCCAAGGCCCGAATGAGACGCTTGTCAACCGTCTCTGGATCACCGTGGAACTGGACAGCGTCGAAGGAGGGAAAGGATTGTGTTAGGTTGGAAGCCACATCGGGTGGGCATTGTCCGAGGATGTAATTATCCAGTTGCGTGCGCACTAGAGCATTGTAATTGGCAAAGAGAAAATCGTCCCATGTTAGTGCAATTTTCTCGACAGTTGAAATGTCTCCGGAGAGAACGCCATACACTGCACGTTCATAATCATCGCAGCCACCGGATCGAGACAAACTGAAGCACATTCGCCTCCATAGAGCAAGCGATGCCGGGTTGGTGTTAGAAAACGCTTGGGTGTCGTCGGTCGAGATAAGTACGGCAGATGTGGAAATAGCTCGCCACATCTCTGTTCGCTCCTGGCACCATTCGCGAATAGTCTCCAGGCTAGACCCTCGGCGGAGGTGCTCGAAGCAGCCTAGCCAGATAGCCCTCTCGAAATACTCGTCCTGGGGCTCAAGCTTTCGTCCTTGGCGAGTCACGGCATCCGGGTCTAACTGTGTCACCAGAGGTGAGCCATCAGAGTTGGTGAACGAGGTTGCAACACCTGGTGCTTGACGATCGAGAAGATGTGGCCAAGCCGTAACGCTCTTGCGAAGCTTGATTTGTGAGCGGGTGTGAAGCCAACCATGGGCGATGATGTCGCCCCGATCGGCATTCTGTTGGAGCTCGCGCGCAAGTTCGTCAATATCCGGGCCAGAAGCAGCATTGTTCTGAAGCCATTGTATAACGGCTTGTCGTTCGCGCGCCGATGGGTCGCTCGCAAGAAAGTTTCCAAGCAGGTCTTCTGAGTCCTGAGAGCTGTGTTTCGTGCCCAAAGCTTCTTGGGAGGCTTCGGAGCTCGAATACCTCAATGGAAGAAGTCGGCGTAGTAAATCCCATGTTTGTGCTTCCTTTTCGAGGCGTTTGATGAGCTCTGCTGATGCAGGGTTGCTATTAGCAGGATCGACCTCATCCGTATCCATGTCTACATCATCTTGTCCGTCACGCATCATGCGCGGTCGCACCTGGGCTAGACGTCGAAGAGCATTCTCGTAGTACTTTCGTGGGAGGTCGAGAATTCGTTCCTGTCGCTCTTCGATGGAAAGTTGAGGAGAGAGGCAGTCGTCAAGCGCGTTGGCGAACTCTTCAACCTCGGGGCCCGCCTCGTAAGACAGGAAATTCTCTGGCTCTATGAGCGCCATATCGAAGGATTATATTCTATCGTCGTGGGGGTATTAAGTCGAATATGCGTGTTTGTAGACGTAAGGAGAACGAGCGGCTTGGGCAATCGACCCTGCTCGGCGGATTTGGCCGTCGGGTCAAATGTGTTGATCGGTCAAGATCGCATGCATACCCTGAGAGGGTGCCGGTACTGGAGTCGCGCGTGTGATGTAGTTGCCAAAGTAAAAAATGTAGCGGCCTCGCGATGGTTGTTGTGGAAGCTCGCGCAAGTTGATGCTCCAAGACAAAACTAAAGAATTGCTGCTAGGTTGTTTTGGTTGCTACTTCACTGGCGCGCCAGAGCTCACTTTTCGGCAGGTACGTATCTCTTCTACTGCCAGGGCAGCCATTGAGTGCGCTAAAACAGCCGCGAGTGGGCGCGCGCGTATTGTACAGTGTGTAAGTATCTTATCTCACACTACACACTGTCATTCCTCAAGTACGTCTCCACTCAGCAGCAAATTTGATTTCCATTTCTCTTCTTCTCTATCATAATGTCATCGGCATTCCTATTAGAGTCTCGGAACAAGCACTCAATGCTTGTTCAGGTCCATGAGGCCTCTTGCGTGCTCAAGGATCGCCTAGAAGAAATTCGGCGCTTTTCATCTCAGTTGCCAGCGTTACCCAAACCGGCGGACACACCATAAGACGAGCGTTACATATCATTTTCCTTCCTCCCGGAGTTGCTTCATCTTTAGCTTTAGCAGATTGGGCTTCGGACAGCTCACGGTAGATGCTTCTTCACCGTAGCGGGCGTAAAAGGCTTCGCAGCATTCGTAGAGCTGCTTGATTGCAGTCTGGCACTTGGCCTCGTTATATCCATTACTCGTGAGACAATCTGGCAGCAATTCAGTTAGATATATGGTCATACTGAGTTTTCTCTTAACTGGAGATCATACTCTGAATGGCGCACTGGCACGGAAACGAGTTAGTTCAAGCTGCTGTGCAATTTTGTAAAACTTACTGCTCGTGGGTGACAAGCTGGCTTGGCCTCGACGTCGTCCTTTGGCGCCTTAATTCAAGCTCATTAGCGATTGCTGAAGGCAACAACGAGGTTGAATTGGGAGAGGCGTACCATTGGTGTGTTCGTTTCACAGTACCAAGTGTCAAAATGTAATAGCCAGTTGGCAGTTGATGTTGTTCCAGTGGGAATATATCCAATGGTCGGCTTTATTGGGCAATCGGTCTGTGGTATCTTATATGCGTAACAGGATATGATAGAATCTGAAACATAATAGGTTCTGACAGCAAAATAAACGATCCTGGAAGAGTAGTGTGCTAATTGCTAGCGAGGACTGATGTCATGAGTGTTCCAAGTCTGCCCGTTGAGTGCCCATCCTGGCAACATAGCTAAGCAACAAACCAGCAGTGAAAGTCAAGTCCTTTGTGATCACCATCATTATACATGTCTTAATGAAATAACAAAAACCAACTTATTATGTCATATAACTAAAGAGATCCCTTCCAATTACCTGTCATGGACTGTTAATCAGAGATAGGCACATGGGAACATTGTGTTCGATATTGATATAGGGTAAGTAAGAGCCTAATCACTGGCAGGAACTTCCACTGCTTTCCAGTGACAGAACAATGACAGTGCCGTTAGAGTTGCTGCTCCCCACCTCGCCAGCTGGAGGCCCCTACAGCTGCTGGAGTGACAGCAGTACGCGTGAGGAGGCTGGTGTGAGGGTTTCTGCTGGAAGAGTGCGACGAATGATACATCCATAGGCAGGTATAACCTTAAGCTGGACAGTCGCCCAGGCAGCCTGGGTGGGCTGCATTCACCTTGTCGAGGCGCATCACGCTTTCTGATAGTCTTTTCACTCCCACCAACAAACCCTTCCATCTCTGTTTCTGCCTTTACACTTTTTCTTCCATTCCCACCCACGGAACATTTTTCGTATCTACCCTCGGAGCCTCGAACCTTTGACAGGCATTCAGATCACCACCCCCACTTGCCTGACCTCACTTACCACTTTCAACCACCATCGTGCAAAGGTACACCACTGTCTTTTCTCTGACGTCTTGCCACGCCATTAATCTTCTGCTTCATTCCGCGCCACCGCTGACATTATTCGAATATTAGAGAACCTTCAAAAATAAACTACGAACAAATCCATAACAATGTCCGACGACAACGCAAACGGCACACCTGGCGAGCAGGCCCCTGCGAACTCGGAACACCTTAACATCAAGGTGACAGACAACAACAACGAGGTCTTCTTCAAGATCAAGCGCACCACCAAGCTCGAGAAACTGATGGGCGCCTTCTGCGAACGCCAGGGCAAGGCCACCAGCTCCGTGCGATTCCTCTTCGATGGCACGCGAGTTCAGCCCACGGACACACCGGATGCGGTTCGTATTACCTCCTTAACCACGCGCCTGCCTGGTGTAAACCGACGGCGTGGGTTAAATGGAAGAGTTTGGATGTGCTGACTGATTACTGTTTCTAGCTCGAGATGCAAGACGGCGACACCCTCGAAGTTCACCAGGAGCAGGTTGGAGGATATTTGCTGTAGGGGAGGAGACCGGAGGTATCACGAGAGGGGCATCGCGGAGAGGCGAATTGACCAAGCAACCTGGTCTTGAACTGGATTTCGATCGTCACTGGTTGAATCTATTGGCTTTACGTACCTCTGATGATAGCGAGACTGAAGCCAGAAGTCGATGACTTACCCACGACTGAGATAATATAACCTGACTAGCTTACGATTTCATTGCTCCCATAGGGATTGAAGTGGTAGATTCCTTCACGCATGTGTGTTTTTAATAAGACGCGGTGGCTTGGATCTGCCGGGACATGGATGTATGTGCATACACCAGGGACTGATCTGCTATGCTTGTTTTTTATGTCGAGTCGTTAACACAATGTCACACGAAGAGGAAAAAAGCAAAGATTGATATGAAACAGACCGAACCGAACCGTGTATTTGCCATTCTAATAAAAGTCACTCACTATACGCGCCTGGGCTTCCATCCCATCCAGTATCACTTGCCAAAGCATACACTTTATATGACCAGGTCTCCCCTCGCTCAACACTCCTTTTCGCCCGTAAAACCACAGGAACCAACATTATGCAGACGGACGATACAAACAGCAAAACAAGACATGCCTGCAAAACAGAGAAGCGGAAAACGAAGTTCATTAAAAGCACACTACCGAAAAAGAAACAATGTTCGGTAAATATCAAAACACGCACGCCAAAATTCACAATCATGATCATCATTACGCTTTGAGTTCCATTGCTCGGCAGCCAGTGCAGAGTACGATGGTGCCCTCAGGCACATGCTTGGTGAAGATTTGGCCATCATCAAAACTGCCCTGACACTCAGCGCACCGGAAGCAGTGCTCATGCCATTCTCCGCCCAAGGCTTGAATGTACTGTCCAATGACAGCTATACGACACTTTCTGCATTTCGGTGCTCGCCGCTCGGTGCGCTTCGTCTGGCAATTGATGCACCACGCGTAGCCATCCTTCTCGATATGTGTCATACCGTGTTCAAACGGATCACCGCACTCAGCACAGAAAAAATGTCCGTAGTGCCAATGAGCACCGAGGGCGACAATATGCTCACCAAGAATAGGGGTTTGGCAGTGCTTACAGCGCGGAGCGAACAGCTCATGCCAGTCAAGATGGCAAAAGAATCGTAGGCGTTCGTCTCCGTCTTCAGCCATGGTCTTTCCTGGTTCCTCATCAAGAACCTCGCCGGCCGCGCGGCGTTTGATGCGATCGAGTCGTTCTTGACGGAGATGGTCGGGCTCATGGCTGATTTCCATCGCCTGTAGATTAGTACCACAGGTATAGCAGCTGAAGCATTGCGGATGGAATCGTTCGTTACCTCCCGCGAGAGCCACGAACCGTCCATCGATAGGGAAACCGCATTCGTGACAGATCGTCACAGCTCGCCTGGTGCTGCCGGGAGCTGGGGACCAGTGTCCACGAGGCTTCTGGGCAGTTCGAGGACCTCCTTTGGCAGTCCTTGGGTCAGGGAGTGGGCGGGCGCGGGTGGTTGGTTCGTCGCTAGGCGTTACGATGGCAGGGATGCCCCCGTCGTTGCTGGAAGGCTCATCTATAGCGATGCTCGGGACGTTGATCGAAGGCACCGAGCCTCGAGGACCCTTGTCCGTCTCATCTACGCAAATCGACGGGACTTGCGCTCCTTTCGACGCCCGGGGCATCGACGTACTTTCCTCCGCCACAACGATACTAGGTACCGCCATGGGTTTCTCGGGCTGGTTGAACGACGAGGAGGATCTGCTTGGGGCTGCCGGGAGCGACCGATCTGGGGTGGTATCAGTGGACTCGTCCGGGGGATGCCAGTTGGCGTCGAAGCTTACAATGGGCCGTCCCGGACTGTCACTGACGGCGGTGGGTTCCGGTAGATTGGAGCTGCGATCTTTCAACCGCATGCTTGTTGCTGCACGGATGTCCTGGCTTCGGACTTCCATACCATTCTTCCTCTCCACCTTGTCGTCAACAGGGACGGAGCCCTCGCTCGAGCGGTTGCTGGTGTATAATGGGTTGCGCGACCGCGTCGGAGGGTTGCGGTATATTTCAACTCGCTCCATGGGCTTTGGCTTTGCGGCCTCCTGGGATGCCTCGAACCGGACGCGGTTCGTCGAGGTCTGAGCTCGGTTGCCGAGTTTCTCTGGGGACGTACGACCGGAGATGCCCATGTCCGTGGAGGTCGTGGCTTCAGGTTCTTCCCAGATCTGATCCTCAGAGAAGGGTCGACCGACCTCTCCGCTAATGTTCCTCTTCAGACTGTGACGACGTTGGTCAGGCGTTCGACGGCCAATGCTGCCATATGTTTTGTTTTTGCTAGTTGACCGCTCGACAGGTTGTCGCTGTTCTAGGTCGGAACGGCTATCACGCACGTTGCGCTCAACCTCGCCCTCTCCTTCTGACAAGTTGCCCTCGCATGGGCCAATACTAGCAGTACGAGCATGGGCGTAGCTATTCTTTCTGAGGTGTGGCTTATAGCGATAGGGCCCATCAGGACGAGGAGGCGGTGTGCCGTGCTGATGTTGCCAGACAAGTTCTGCAGCTTCGTCGAGAGCAGCATTGTATAGACGAGTATCATCGTCTGGCGTCTCTTGAACAGGCGATTTAGAACCCTTTCTGATGTCCATCTCTTCCATAGCGTCGCGCAACGAACTTGCCTCCTCTTTCTCCATCCATCTCTGACCTCGCTCCATGTAAGTGCCTGAAGGAACTACATCTGAGGGGCTCAAAGGGTTCACTGGTGATGCTGAATAATAGTCGGGGGTTTTCCTGCTGATTGTAGATAATCGTGAGGCGACACTAGCCCCAGCGATGCTGGGGCTCATTGATTCCTTGCGATCAAGTGTGTGGGGGGCGCTTTCTGGAGGAGTAGCAAAGTCAGGCGTAAATCGGCCCGTACTATGGCGATGCAAGCTCGAACGGCTTGGTACTGGTCGTGCGCCGGCGGGTTGAGGTCGTGCACCTCCAGGTCTCGCAACTCGGTTTGAGCGTAAGCCCGCAAGGTAGGTAGCTGTTCAGTAGAGGACAGTATTAGTCAAGAATGATTGTTCTTGTTCCCATTTACGATACCATACCGAATTGATCATCCGTCATGTACGAAGGCTCGTTCGCCGCCGCCGAGGTTGGCATCTTTGCCGTTGCGCTTCCGCGAGGGAGGATATGAATAGAAAACTAATGAATGTCGAAAAGAATATGCTGTCCGGCAGAGTAAAAAGATTGAAAAGGGAGGATAGATAGCAGGGAGGGAGGTATTTGACAAGGTATAGAGAGCGATAACAGATCGATACGAGCGTGATACTTTTAACGGCTGGTCGCGAATCGAGCTGGCTGGGGTTGACCAGGCAACGGAAGTTGAATGGTGGTTGGGTTGCGTCAGAGCATCACCAGCAGCAACAAAAGGCTTTTGTCTAAGAATGAGAGACCAAGATGATAACTGATGATCTCATTGACCCAATGCTTTCTTTCAGGTGCGGTTGTTGTAGTTTGTTACAAGGGGTCTTTGAATTGGTAGCCGTTATTTATTGTACAGAATTTTCCACCGCCATCTGCCAGGTTCTCATCCATGATAGGTAGTAGCTACTGCCTACTAACCCAGTACATACATACAGTAGTAGGCACGTAGGTACAGTTTTCCAGCGGGGAGCTTTGATGTGTATTGCTCTCATTTGCTGAAACACCTACTTAGTAATAAGAAGCAAGGTGTTGGCACCATAGTCGTTGTTTCACTTATTAACACATGTAAAGATTGAATAGAGAGAGTCACACTCTCCATACCTATCTGCATCATTCCTTGACACCCTTTTCAGCTTCTGGCGCCGCCTTTTCAGTTGAGGGCGGTGGAGATTGGGCAAAGCCAAGGTTCTTGAAATCGTCCCTGGCCATCAGGTTTCTAAAATACCCGTTGTTATTAGCCCGTTTTGCTCCGTCCAATACCGAGAGATTTGCGTCATGACTTGAAAGTGACTTGGGAGTTGATTGAGGCTCACCTATCCATTCTGCATGAAAGATATGCTTTTGCTAGGTCGCGACATTCTTCGTCATTCATGCCTCGCACCTTTTTCATACATGAAAGGTATTTTGTCATGACAGTCTTGCACTCGCCTGCAATTGATTAATTGTTGAGTGCACAGCTATTTCTTCTGAGTTGCGTTGCTCACCATCATGATCAAGAGGAAAGCTTCCACGCTGCGGTCTGATAGATCACAGAAACATATTTCAGTCAGGTTCTCTTAACAACGACATGCAATGAATGACTCACGGCGTGGGCTTGGTCGTTGGCAACGGACCGGGACTACCAAAAGTACTCATGTTTTTGTATCGCGCTGGTCTCTTGATTGATCCTTACAATCAACCTCATTCATTTCATCTTGTTCGAAAAGTCAGGCGACTTGTGGCGAACCCCGATAGAGCAACCTCTAATGGATAACAACATGTTTTTTAAGGTGTGGCTAGTGACGTGGCACGGCCTTTCCCCGAGATCGCTAGCCAATTGTGAGGGATTTCAGTGGTCAGTGCACTAAAGATCGCCTAGAACCAGGCATCATAATGCCTAGAAAGAGCTTCCACAAAGGCATTATGCAAGTACACGTGAATCTCCTCTAAACCATCCAGCTCGAGCCATCCAATCCGTTCTGCAGCACGGACGGGCCCCATCCATGTCTATTAGCGTCTTTCCCCTGCCCGCGTAGAAGCAGAGCAAAGCAAAGCCACCTCAGACCAACCCAAGCCTGCCTGAGTTTGAGTCTGAGCCTGAACCAGAACCAGTCCATCCAAGTCAATCCCAGACCTAGACCGAACCGCATGAACTGTCGGAACTGACGTCGGATTTTTGAATTTTAGCGACGACGCGCGCATTATTCAAAACTTCCTCCGTCTCCTTGTCCTTGTCCTGGGTTTCGTGACGGACTCCTGAATAGACCCTGATCTTTGACTGTCTGTTCTGTCCTGTCCTGTTGTTTTTGGCATCTCTCCATCTCGCTCGCTCGCTTCGACCGCCCGTCACAAATTCGGCCTCCCAACCACCATGGCTGCTCTCGGCGAGGATTTGCTCACCACGGTCAACAAGCTGCAGGATTTGGTGTTCAACACCATCGGCAGTGACTCTTTGGACCTCCCTCAGATTGTATGCGTTTTTTGCTAGGCGAATTGATCGTTCTGGCCTTGACTGACCGCATATTTAGGTTGTTGTCGGTTCCCAGTCCGCGGGCAAATCTTCCGTACTTGAAAACATCGTCGGTCGAGACTTTCTACCGCGCGGAGCCGGTATCTGCACTCGTCGTCCTCTGATTCTCCAGCTCATCAACGTTGACGACGATGAAAACGCTCCCGACCCTTCAGCCGATCCTTATCGATCCCCTGGCGCTGCTCGCCGTTCCGAGTGGGCAGAGTTCCACCATATCCCCAACCGGAGATTCAACGACTTTGGCGACGTTAAGCGCGAGATTGAGAATGAGACATCCCGAGTTGCCGGTAACAACAAGGGTATTAACCGACAACCCATCAACCTCAAGATCTATTCTCCTCACGTCCTTAACTTGACCCTAGTGGATCTTCCTGGTCTAACCAAGGTGAGCATCCTTGTGTTGGCGATCTTGATGGCCTTCCCTCTTGTCTTTGATCATTCGTACTGATTGTTCTATAACGCAGGTTCCTATTGGCGATCAACCCACAGATATCGAGAAGCAGACTCGAAACCTCATTTCCGAATACATCGCCAAGCCCAACAGTATCATCCTTGCGGTCTCTCCCGCCAACGTCGACATCGTCAACTCCGAGGCCCTCAAGCTCGCCCGTCATGTCGACCCTCTTGGCCGAAGAACCATTGGTGTTCTGACCAAGGTTGATCTCATGGACCATGGCACCAACGCACTGGACATTCTCTCCGGCCGTGTTTATCCTCTGAAGCTTGGTTTCATCGGCGTGGTCAACCGATCGCAGCAGGATATCCAAGGAAACAAGCCTATGGAGGATGCTCTTCAGGCCGAGACCGACTTTTTCAAGCACCACCCTGCCTACCGTAACATCTCCACACGATGCGGCACTCACTACCTGGCCAAGACCCTTAACACCACTCTCATGGGCCACATCCGTGAGCGTTTGCCTGACATCAAGGCTCGGCTCAACACCCTTATGGGCCAGACGCAGCAGGAGTTGGCTAGCTACGGTGACATGCACTTTAGCGGAAAAGAGCACCGCGGCTCTCTTATCCTCCAGCAGATGACACGCTTCGCAAACTCTTTTATCTCTTCTATCGACGGTACTTCGACCGAGATTTCTACCAAAGAGCTTTGTGGTGGTGCTCGTATCTACTATATCTTCAACTCTGTGTTTGGTAGCTCTCTTGATACGATTGACCCTACCTCCAACCTGTCCGCCCTTGACATCCGGACAGCAATCCGAAATTCGACTGGTCCTCGACCAAGTCTTTTTGTTCCCGAGATGGCTTTCGATCTTCTTGTTAAGCCTCAGATCAAGCTTCTCGAAATTCCTAGCCAACGTTGTGTTGAGCTTGTCTACGAAGAGCTTATCAAAATTTGCCATACTTGTGGTTCTACCGAGCTCTCACGATACCCTCGGCTCCAAGCTAAACTTATCGAGACTGTGTCAGACTTGCTCCGCGAGCGACTTGGCCCTGCTTCGTCATATGTCGAATCTCTCATCTCTATCCAGCGCGCCTACATCAATACTAACCACCCTAACTTCCTTGGCGCCGCCGCCGCCATGAGCAACGTAGTCAGCGCTAAGCAGGAGCGGGAGCGGAAAAGGCTGATCCAGGAGGAACGGGAGCGTCGTGAAAAGAGGCGTCTTCAGGAGCTCGAGGTTGAGGGTGATGGTCCCGAGGGCGAGGATGGTGTCAATGGACCAGAGAAGCCTGAAAAGACCAAATCAGGAAGGACCAAGGCCACAAAGCAGCCTCACCGTAGCATATCGCCTGCCTCCTCAGTCCGTGAGAACGGAACCTCCAGCCTTGCTGCTCATATGAACGCAACACACCTCAACGGTCTTCGATCAGCCTCACCCGCTCGACTTAACCAACAGGGGCTTGGCGGTGCTCGTGATTCTTTCCTCAACTACTTTTTCGGCAAGGACGGCCAGACTATCGGCGCTCCCCTACCTAGCCCTGGCGCGCTTCCTAACGGACGACATATCAGCCAGAACTCTGAAACCAGTTTCCCTATTGTGCGCCGGGAGAGAGAATTTAACCGGCCCTCAACAGCGACGACAATGGCACCCGAGGACGACTTGTACGACAGGACAGGGAAGAACTACGGTTTAGCCTCCCAAATGGTAAGTTCCGAGGATCTACAGGTGCCTGGCCTACTCTTTTCACACCAAACTAACCCCTACCACCAGGGTGAGTCCGCGGAGCCGGCCATGACGGAACGCGAGGCTATGGAGACAGAACTCATCCGAGCTCTCATCTCTTCTTACTTCAACATTGTCCGCGAGTCCATCGCCGATCAAGTCCCCAAGGCTGTCATGCATCTTCTCGTCAACCACTGTAAGGACGTCGTCCAGAACCGTCTTGTCAGCGAACTCTACAAGGAAACTCTCTTTGAGGAGCTGCTCTACGAGGACGATGGCGTCAAGAAAGAGCGTGAGAAGTGCGAGCGCCTGCTCCAGACTTACCGAGAGGCTGCCAAGATCATTGGCGAGGTGCTGTAGAATCAGCACTGATTTCCTTTCGGTTTATGGTACAGGTCACACCACTGTGTGACTGCGTCGAGTTGAACCCGACAATAATGAAGAAAAGCAAGACCAATCAATAACAGTCAGTCATGCATGGACGGATGAATGAATCGATGGATAGACTCGAAGACAGGCGAAACATAACGTGGAGACACCGGTCAATGTCGATCGCTTTTGATCAAGGGGCTCAGGCTCTTGAATCAATATTGACTGCTCACCAAATGGGCAGGAGGAAGAGAGAAAGAGAACAAGAGAGAGAAGAAAGACAAGAGTGTTGTAATTTTGGTCTTCTCATTTTCATCGTTTTTCTCTTATCTTGTACATCACCAACCGGCATTGGAATTGTGGCCATACTCAGCTTTGTTTCTGATGATGGATAGCTCTCACGAGAATAGATACAAGAGGAGGGCTTGTACGTATGTATCGATGGATGTATGTAAAAAAGCAAATCAAACTCGGCTCGTCGTCTAACAGAATATACACAATGTATTACTACTTGATAATTTTCATCCAGTAGGCCAATCTATAAATAATCAATCGTTGCAACCTCTATGCTCTTTCGCAAAATTGCAAAGCATCCTACCATCACTATTACCCTCGGAAATACGCCTGTGGTTCTTTGCCAGTAGATGAAGGATATCGCCAATCATAACCATCATATGCGGGCCTTGACACCGGCGGAGGACCGGGAGGGTTTCCTCGAGAATCAACAGTATAACCCAACGGACCTTCAATAACCCGCTGGGTAGGATAAGCGCTTTGCTCTCTGAACGGTGGCCGGGTTCCGTAAGCGTAAGAAGGCCTGTCGTCCCGTCGGATAGGGCGTCTAACAAAGTAGTCACCATCTGGATGACGAACCTCTACTAACTCGAACGTCTCTGTGGGGTATTCTGTGGGAGGACGGGTGCTAGGACGGTCATAGTAAGTTCCTCGAGCAGCAATAGGTGGCTCTGGCTCCTGATAGTATCCTGGTTGTGCGAATCGCGAACGGGGACTTCGTTCCCGGTATTGGACTGGGTAGTGATCACTGTGCCAGAAAGGCAGAGGTTGGTCATATTCGCCAAACCTCTGCTCGCCAGGAATAACATATCTAGGCTCACGGGGAAGGGTGTTCCGAGCTCTGCGGCCGCGACCAATCTCACGCCCAGACTCGTCCACATATACGACTTCCTCCTCCTCTACTACTTCGTGCTTTTGAACGCCTAAAGACTCCCCAGCTTCGACGTAACTGGACACTGCATTAACGGACGTGGTTGCTGTATGGTGGTGCTCACGTGGCCGGTTTCCTACGGAAGCACTCCTGTCACGCTGTCTGGCGAGCTCCACGCCTGAATACCGCTTCTCACGTAAATATCGGTAATCAGAAGACTGTTCGTCGCGCCAATGTCGAGGCTTTGCAGGGTGGGAAGGACGACGAGCCGCGAAATCCTGCTCAGTTTTGTCGCTTCCCCTAGCTGGCTCGTGAATTCTTTCAAAATCTGAAGGCGAATACTCGTCAGACCTCGAAGCATCCATTTCTGCGGGGTCGTCAGGTATGTGTTGGACTGGTGGAACTTGGCGCGTTTTACGGCCGTAAACTTCACTGGCTGGGCGAAGATGCGCTACATCTTGATCAGACTCATCTTGCAACCGAGAGTTCAAGGACGCAGCGATTGGGATCATTGCTGAATGGGACTGGATCGTGGGGACATCATGGCCCAGATGTGTTGTTGTTTTGTGCTGCTCAATGCCGGTCCCTGAACGCTCTTCCACAGATTGACTGCTTATCACGTAAGGATCTGGGGCAGGAAGCTGCTTCGTTTCTTGGGTAGAGAGACTTTCTTTAGCCTTCGTTTTCGGAGGCTTAGAAGCAAACTTGTCGATAAAAGCCTGTTCGAATGCCCAAGGGATAGCCTCTTCTACTAGGGAGTATGCCGTGGAATCCTCTCGCAGTATGTCTGCTAACCCTGCCAAGCGCTCTTGCTCCGGCAGTTTGATCATGTCTATTAGCCAGTTCATAGGTATTTGCCCCTGACCTTTGGGAAGTGCTACGTGCACTGCCTGAAAATGTCTGGCTAGCTTGGGAAGGTGGAAGATCTCGCTGTCGCAAGCTCTGCATGCAACTCCGTTGAGTGACCGGACCATATGTAGCTTTCTACTCTTCTCGATAGCATCAAGAAACATCTGCAGCCGAAGAGGCTCATGATGTGTTTCTTCGAAACGTTTAGCGGCATCATGGATAACAGCGATGGCCCTGACTGGAGGCGGTACCCTTTTATTGGATCCGACCTTCGCCCATGCTGACTGAGTAAACCTGATAAGTGTTTCATGCTGGGTTTGCTGAGGAATACCAGGTGCTGCGACGTGCTTTGTGTTGTTGTGATTAGAATATGGCCCGTGATCAAACTGCTCAAGAGGTGGGGGAGCGGATGTCGCGTAATCGTAGTCGTTCGAATGGTTTTGGGAGCTGTAGGGCATTCCAGAGGGATACAGAGGAGTATAAGAGCCATACCCCGTCGATTCAGGATAGGTCTGAGTCGAAAATGGTGGACCGTATGTATGGGCTCCGGCTTGGCCATACGGGGCCATGAGAGTCATCGGCATATGGGGTCCAGAGTTATAATGCGGTAAAGGAGGTGGTTCTACACCATAAGCAGGAGGCAGATACCCTGTTGGCGCACTCTGTTGGGGGTTAGGATGGGCTTGTTGAAACGGAGCGTCCTTAGATTGTTGCATTTTAGATGAGCCCTTCTCATGGTAAACCTTCTCCTTCATTCGAGGGTCAGGACAGAATGGTGGTACCTCCGGCCATTCTGCTCTCCAATGCACCACAACATTGCCCAGGCTGAGAGCAGTTGTGTGTTTGGCTGCATAATGCTGAAGCACGCCTTCGAAGCCGAAAAACTTAAGAGCCCCAGTTCCACCATTGCAGCCATTGCAAAGAAACAATTCTTTACGCAACGGCTCGGTATGAGGTTTGACCTTTATGTCAAAAACCCATTTCATGTTTTCCAGAGTTAATCTTTGGGTCCAGGGTCCCTCTGGAGGCTCGGCTATGGGTTCCTTTCCTGCTGCAATCAATGCGGCTGTGTCCTTTGCAACTTCGGCATAGAATCGTTTGCGAACATATAGGAGAACTTCTGCAGCGAATTGAGGGCAGGTCTTTTTCTTGATCTTAGCGCCATTATTCCACACTTCTATGACCTCGTCTGCGTATTCTGCTATGCGAGCTCGGACAGGACCTTGTGTTTCATCCCACTCTTCGTCAGTGACTTCCCTTGGCTCTCTAGTAGACTTTTTCTCAGACTCTTTCTTGCCAAGCTTCTCTCGTAAGACCTGGGTCTTGACGCTGGTTTGCTTTACTCGCTGTTCAGCATCCTCTCTCTGAGCGAGAAGGCGAGGTTTCAATAGTTCCCAAGCACTGTCGTCAAGAGGTGTAATAAGCTGGAGCGCTGCTTGAAAGGATGGGATGTGGGCTAAAACGTCTGCAGTAAGTGGAGGGTCAAGGAGCATGGCTCGGCGTTCTATGTCAGCTCGCCTTTGGGCTTTGAGTTGAGCTGCTTCTTCCCTTGTCCGCTTCTGCTGCGTTGGGACATGTGGTTGTTGAGAAGTTGCTTCCAGATTAAATGTAGGCCCGTATTGCTCATTCTTGTTGTATGTTTGTGGTTGTTGCTGATCAAGCTGTTGCTTGACACCCGACGAGAGTTTGTTAGGAGGAGGAATAGAAGAGAACGACTCAGCAGGGGTTGAAACGTCGGCCTTGGCTGCAGCAGTTGACACCCGCAACTGGGCAATTCCACCTGCGGCTGCCCATTTCTCCCAACGAGAGGCGTCAACTAAGATCTGCTTGCCGCGAATTTCCAAACCCTTAATCCACTCTTCGGCGGCGGCAGAACCTAATGCCTTGACACTTTCAAACTCTGCCTTGACTTGTTCAACATGCTCCGCCCAGAATAGCTTGGTTACCTGGGTGTTTGGAGGAACTGCTCCTGTCTGCATGGCACGGGGAGGTATGGCATGCATATCTGCATCCACAAGAACGGGAGGTAGAGCCGGAAGCAGAAAAGCAGGGAACGTCGAAGACAATAAGAGATCGATCTCCTGTAGCGCACGTCAGTCTGACATCTAGAAATTTGGACAAAGGAACCCAGACACCTACCCTGACACCATTCTTCTTCAGACAGCTACCGCAAGTGAAGACGCAAAACGGAAAGATGGGACAAACGTCACTTGGACCAGGGCCACTACGCCATGCTTCGGTGTTTGAAGACTGAGGATACGTCTGGCCCTTACTACCACAGAACTGGCAAGATGTAGAGCAAACAAGACGCCACATCTGAACTTCCGGCTTTCCTTTCAGAGGAGCAGGCATGCGGGGCCAGTGAAGCCTCCTTGAAGCTTGCCAGATGGCATCCGGCTTCAAGGTTGGAAGGGAAGATGGAACACTACTTTGTCGCTGGGCAGGTCTAGTGACAGAAGGGCTAAGAAAAACATGGAAAAGTTTGTTGACAATCAACAAACGACCCAGGTCCCTGGGTGATACAAGAGTGAAGATATGTTGCCATATCTCTCCCGGAAGCTGTCTGGATCGGTCCACCAGCTTCTGGGACTTGTTGGAGTTGACAAGACCAGTTCCAGCTTCCTCAAGCCTCACTTTCTTGAATTGCTGGGCACTCGTCAAATGCAGCGACTGGCGCCGTTTCTTGGAAGGCTGCAAGATATCGTCGAGTAAAGATGCAGCTGGATCATAGCTGGAGGCTTCTGAGGGCTCATAATCGGATTCATCAACCATCTGCACATCGCCCTTTTGTAAATCACTGGTTGTCGAGGCTGCTTGGTTCAGAGTTAAGCCAGGGAAGATCGTCCCTCGATCTCCTGAGAAAGACATCGGTTATGAAAACGCGCTATAGGATAGCAAGAATATGTATGATAAGGGAAGGTTCAGAAACACGAGAGAAGATTGGCTTGAGACCCATCAAGCCTGGGGGCAGGGGAGTAAACACTTGTCTGCGCGTAGGGAGTAACGTAGAAATTCTGCGTTATAGTACAACGAAAAGCAGTAAGAATCAAACGCTCATATACAGAGCTCTTCTTATATACAAACCGGTACCTGATCGTGAATCAAGCAACACGAAGTGAATTCGCGGCTTGATCTTGGGTTTGGAGAATAGATGAAGAATGGTGATGATAGAATGAATGAATGAATGGGTCATGATTTAAAAGTTGGGTTATCGATAAAGGACTCGGAGTGGGTCCACTTTTTATCGGCATCATGCCAGGCCTCGCTACCTGTATTACTAGCAGTAGGCAGACATCCAATCATTTTACTAAGCGTTGATAAAAATCATTATACCAGGTACATATCTCATCGTATAATTAAGTAGAGTTGTTTGATATTACATTTGGTGGTTGTTTCGCACATCATATTGTTTCACGAGATGTTAACCCCTATCTTAATCATCATTGCATACTGGCATCTCTTCCATTCCCTCCTCCTTGCCCCATTCCTTGTCCTTGTGAAGTGCTTCCACTACGCCCGCCCATTGATGAGGTCTGCCCAGGCGACGACTGATCTCCCCCCGATCCATATATCTGGAAGCTTTGGTCTGCACCCCAATTGGCCATTTGTGTATAATTCTCGAAGGCATTCTACCCCAATGTTAGAATATGTTTATAGTTATCGATCCTCATGAACATCACAACTTACCCAGTCAAAGTTGGCAGCCATATCCATCCCTGCATCATTACTAGCTCCGAGGTTGCCGAACATGGAGGAGAACGGGGAAGCTGGACCAGCTCCTGCGAAGCCATCTGTCTGAAAGTCGAGACCCTCAGGGCCAGGCATGCCAAAGTCCATACCCATAAATGCCGCTGGATTGGGTGTCGAGAAGGGGTTGGCTGTCGCGTTGAACTCAGGTAAGCTATCAGGAGAAATAAACCCAGGGGCCATAGGTGGTGTGATATCAGTTCCAAGACCAGACATCAAGCCGGGCATGGGTGATGGCACGCCTGGCATATCCGCATTACTTGAGGTGGGGTCTTTGATCTTTTCCAGCATGATATCAATGACCTTAGCCGCTTTAAACGCTTCCATGGATGTATCAGCGAGGGTATTCCAAATCTTCCTCGCAGTTTCCAGGCTGCCAATCATCTTTGATCGCTGATCGTCGTTCCATGTCGAAGCACCCTCGTCGTCTTGCGGGACTGAAGACTGTGCCGCAATGTTGTCGAAGTGCAGATCGAGGATAACCAGCATGGCAGGCAGCGTGAAGTCCTTGGTGGCAATGGATTTCACAAACCAGCCTACTGAACGTAACCTTCCATTAGACTGTGACTCTCGGTAGAGAACCGCTAGGTGGTCGAGCGCTGTCAGCGACGCCTCGATTGCAGCTCTTCGAGAATGAGCGTATCTCGCGCTTTGTCTTGCTCGAGGAAGATATTTCCGGTGCAGTAAACAGAGGATCTTTTGGTAAAGGATATCGACGTTGAACCTGGCGATAATTAATGTCACTGGGTCATGCGACCCTTCCAGTGTTGTCAACTTTAGATGCGGAGGCAGCTCTTGCATTATTTGCCGCAACTTAGCATCGAAACGAATAACCTCATCGTAGGGCACATGCTTGCCCACTTGACCCGTAGCCTGAAGGATATTTCCAAGCTCGTTACACAGTCTCGACTTGGCAATCATATATGCGATTGGAGTGGCTACTGTGGACGGACGAGATGGTGGCAGCTCTTTGATGCCAGGGTGAAACTCGTCGTCAAAGATGTTGTTGGGCAGTTGAGTATCACAGTCATGTTCATAAATCATGCTGGGCAAAGACACTTGGTGGGAGAAGATGACATCCGACATTCGCACAAGAGCCCAAGTTCGCCGTCTCATTTCCTAAAACGGTCAATCGATGCTCTCGTTACATACATATGTAGAGTTGGGCGAGACTTACAGCTTGGAAAGGGGTAATCGTAGGGAACCACTTGGCGTCCCGGTGATAACCCATTCGGAATGCGATCCGGACAATTAAGGATACGATCAACCACAAGCCCAGGTCGGCGTCCCATCTGGACGAATATTCTCCAAATACGTACAGAATCATGGTCTCAACCGTGTACTCGTTGGGTTTTGTGTAATCCGACTTGATAAGGCATTGCACCGTTCGTAACCGATACTCGTTTGCCAATTCCAAAGTTCGACCTCTCCACTCGGGAGGTTCATCACCTACCTTGTGATAGCTCAACATTGCCAGGCAAAGAATAGAGTAGAGCATGCCAAGCCACATGATGGGCGTCTTGTTGGGATCTTGCCAGTGGTCCTTTAACTGCTGTTGGAAGGTTGGTCCATGAATAATGTTGACGGCGTTATCCATAGAGTTAAAGTATCGACTGCAGAGTGTCAAGACAGCTGATTTGGGAGGCAGTTCTGCTCTTATCTCGATTTCGGATGCAGGCGTCGCTCCCAGTAACAATGTGGGCCCTTCCCGCGCAGCCTGGGGTTTTGATGACTTGACTCGCTCATAACTCGATTCCAGTTCCTTTTTGTGGGAGGTAAAATAATTCTTAACCTCGGAGATATCGGCAAGGAGGGTGTGCCAATGTTCCTGACCGACATATAATGACTTGCCCTTGTCTGTATCGACTTTAAGGAAACCCAAAGAAGTGGCAAGTCCGTCCTCCTCATCGCTGTTCTCGTCTTCGTCATATGTCATTGCATTTTCGTCTCCCCTATCGACTTTGGCGGAAGATCCACTGTCTGTGGTGGATTGTGCTGCTGCTCCGGCGGCTGCGGCGGATGCAGCATCTACGTTAGCACCTCCGTGCATAAGGGATAGAACTAGGCCTTCTAAACGGTCAATACGATTCTGCATGTCATCAGGACTTGAGTCTCCTTGACTTTGATTCTTCTTGCGGGTGACTGGCGTAGCGTAAGAGCATGAGCCTGTACCCATGCCCTCGCGCTTCGTACAGTTACTACAAGGATGACTTCTGTCACATTTTCTAGTTTATGTTAGTGTGAAGAGTCTCTCGGGGAGGGTTTAAGCTCACAATCTACCAGCACGGTTAGTAAAGAACATCAGCATGGACATAAAGGGGTACACATACTTGCGCGTCCTACAAGGATAACAGCTGAGGGGAACGCGATTCCTTTTCCTCACAACGCGAAACTGCTCCTCGGGAGAGCGTGCTCCTTGCGAGGAGTTCGTCGAAGGAGGAGTTGGGGTCATTGTGAATATGGGAAGGCGAGAGGATGTGTCTCGACAGATGAGATGTGGAATCCGACTTCAGGCTGAAGTACAAGAGTTGAGACAAGACTTGGTCAGCCTGAGGGGAGCACCAGCATCAATATATTGAGCGAGGCCTGAGCGGTTGGCGGCACAAGAGATCCTTGGCCAGTATGGGTGACTGAGTAATAGAACACTGCCGCAACTACGGCGACCAGATGATCAAGGGGAGACTCCCTCTGACCGGACCGGACCGGGACTTGCGGCCCCAGGATTCAGTTGAAGACCGAGACGAGCCAATGTCGATGGTCGGACAGACAGCGCAGTCCAATGCAATGGGAAGGGTTTCGCCTCAATTGAGTCCCTACTGTAGGAACCTGGAGGTGGCGTGGGTCGAGTCAAGTCCGACAAGTCCGCGCTGCCTTAGGAGTCACAGAGTAGAGGTAAGGTAAAGAGTAGTGTAGGTACAGATACGGATACGGATACCGTGTGATGAAATTGCACGGTATGAAACAGCCTTCTTTTCCAGCGTAGTACAGTACAATATAGTAACAGACAGCTTAGATCGGATGGCGATATTCCGTGCCAGAGTTCATAGGCTAGGTGAGCTCTGATGTTGCGATACGGTACAGCCGGCTCTTTTTTTCTGATAGTGAACGACTGAGCTCGCTGTATGGAGGTATGGTATGGATGCGAGAGGTAGCGAGAAGAGCGCGGCTCGGTGGGGGAATAGAGCGGGAGGCGAAAAAAAGAATAGCTAGGGTGGGATGGTAGGGAAGCGAAGAGCTACCTACAATAAGGCAGAAGGCATAAGGTAGAGAGAAGTAAGGTAGGGATAGGTAGAACAGAATGGCGGAATGTTTTGGGGGTCAGCTCAGCTCAGTCAGCAAAGCAAGCGGAAAGATAAAGAGGATGACGGACGGCGTCTGTGTCCAACCACAAGAACAGGATGTCAGTTAATAAGACGCAATGCAATGAAACGAAATATAATACAGTGCAGCATCCGCAATGAAGGAGGGGTCGGAGTTTCCGAATGCTTTGCTTGGCTTTTGATTCTATTACCTATGTAGGTAGGTAGAGAAGAAAGAGAAGATCTCTTTGCTGAGCAAGGTGGAAAGAAAATGGGCCAGAAACTGAATGCGAGTCCAAATTTGTGTGGTCTGGATGTCAGCATCAGCTTTATTAAACCGCAGACTAAGGTACTAAGTTAGAGGGAGGTGATTAGGCATCGTAGCAGAGGAAAAGTACGCGTATCCCTTCACCAACAATAATTGATAAGAATTGAGATTGGAAGAGACATCTATGGGTCTGAGTATTCAATATGTTGGCGCCCGTGATTGAAATATATATCACAAGTAAATATGAAGAATTTCGCTATTTCTTCGCCTTTATTTTCCTCTCTGATGTACCTATTACAGGACTTACAACAATTAGGGGTCTAAGTACCTCTGGGTGCTGCACAGAGATGGATACTGCCCGTGCATCAATGTTGAGCATCCATGGAACTTGGCCGTGGAAAGGAACCACAATCTACCACCAAAACCAAGGACAAGGACAAGTACAGATAATCTTTGTTGCCTAGCAGGCCGGTGACTCATTCTCGCTCGTCGGATTCAGCCAGCGCCTTACTCTTTAACCTATCGATGGATGGATATTTCGGACTTCGGACCTGGAGCTTGATTATCACCGATATTTGTCATCCATATTTTAGTAGCCACTCCACAATTGTTCTCCTTCATGTGCATAGGGATTGTACAGTTGTCGATCATTGGATTACCAACAATCCAGACCTAGTCTACTGTATATCCCATCCATGCCAATACTACCTAGAGTGCCGAGTCTTAGTTCACATTCACAGCCAATAACTTGGCTGAGAAGAGTGCAATTGCCGTGCCGTTATTTCATCATAGGTTTGTTTTCTTCATGTACCTACATCTTACTAATCCTGTCCTTCTACCCTTTTGAAATCCATCTCAATCGACTCGCTACCTGCTGATGCATGGTCGGTGAGCTTCAAGGGCCATGATTTGGACTATCCTTTCGAAACCAATAGCGCACAAGGGCTACGTTCAGAACCCATCGCCTCTGTTTCCATGACCTTTCTCTCCGAGCAATTCTCGCCCACCAACATCCAGTCCTCCCCAGAGTTCCAAATCTTCTCGATTATATGTTTATGTACCCATACACCGTCCGCTAGTTCTTCGCCATGCGTTTCAGTCGGATGCTGGGCCTTGTGCTGTTGAACATCATTGCTTCAAGGGTGGGGTTATACTGATGGCTATGCAGTGCAGCATAGCATTCAGCGACGACTGCAGGACCACATTCACGCGTGCTAACAAAACGTGCATCATGTTCATCGCATTGCATATATTCCGCTTCAAGATGCTGCAGGAGCGCTCACGCTGTACTTTGTAAGAAACTCGGCGTCGTTGCTCATCTCCTCCTTGACCTGTCAATTTGTCAGCATGAGTTAAGTTTCTCGCGCCCAATACAACTTACAATGTCTAGACCTCCAACAAGCTCACCATCAATCCAAAGCTGGGGGTATGTTGGCCAGTCTGCAAACTCCTTGAGTCCCTGCCGAACCTCATCGTCGGCAAGAATGTTGAAAAATCCATACTTGACTGAGTTGTCTCGTAGTAGACCAACCAATTGCCTAGAGAAACCGCACTGGGGCGAGCTGGGTGTGCCCTTCATGAAAAGCATGACAGGTGCAGCCTTGACAAGGTCTCCAAGACGCTTGAAAAGCTCCTCCTTCTTCTTCTCAGGATCCTGCTCCTCTTCGACGGCGGCATCGTTCGCCTCGACGCCATTGGGGCCGCTTGCTGCAGCGTTTTCGCCTGACTGCTTCGCCTGTGTTTCGATCGCCGTGCGCACCTTGACAGCGCTACTGCCACTGACGGTCTCGACAACCTCGCCATTTCTCAAAAGAACGAGGAAAGGCACGGCAGTAACATCGTAGGTCTCGCTGAGGTCGCTCAACTCCTCTGCGTTGATAGACACCCACTTGGTGGTGGGAGGCTCAGTGACTGGATATTCGGAAGCGAGGGTCGACAGGACGGTGGCCATTTGCGCGCATGGTGCGGCCCACGGGGCGTGGAAGGATACGATAACGAGCGTAGTGGGGGGAACAGAGCCAAGCAGCTGCTCCCACTCGGGAATGCTGGTGATTTCTGTGATGGTCGACATTTTTTGGTTTTTGGGGGGTGGTTGATGGAGATGTCAGGGTTTCGATCTGATAAGGGGAAAAAACAGAAACAGTAGGCAGTTCTGAGGTCGGAATAGTTTAAGGTTGGTAGAAATTGGCGTAGATCCGCGCGCGAATGGGAATGGGGGGCAAAATCAATTCCAGTCCCGTCGTCGGGTCTCACTCAAAGTTTCCATGGCGGGGTACTGACTCTGCTGAGAAAACTGGTCTTGCGTCATTTCGTTTGGCTTCCATTCAATCTTCCATCGTTCGCTATCGGGCGGCTCGGGGTAGACGGCGACGGGGACGGGCGGTACTCCGCTGCCGGAGCTGGATATATGCATCCGATTCAATAAATGAATTCGCATCTGTCATGCTGACATACAACCTCGATTGGAAGCTCACATCGTTTAATCGTTATAACCAAACCATAAAAAGTCTAGCACCATACAATGGATATCTACTCTACTGTACAGCAATGGATGTGGAGGGGCCAGACAGAGTACAGCTCATACCTACAGCATGAACAGCACAGCTCAACCCCGCTCACAGCCCACCGTAGACTAGCTAGACCCTAGACCGCCCCAAAGTTGGGCATCTCCAAGCTCCCCTAGGTACCTCCCAATGGAGTGGACAACCTGCGAAAGCTACCTGCATCATCAGCCACACACTCTAATAAACCCACTTTCTGTTGTACCCAGACTTCCCACCGTCTTCTGATTTGCTTTCGGCTTCTATCCATAACTTCTCCTTCTCCTGAACCCTGACAAGGCGAAACAAAACGAGGACGAGCACAGCAATTCCTCACATCTCGACGATACAAGGTATTTAGGCCTAACTAAAACCCATCTCCGGCTACGCCTCCGGAACTTATATCCTGTGGAGCTGCCACCGCAACAACAGTAACGGTGTCAACGTCGCCCCCCAACCCCCGTCATCCAACCTGACCTTCGTCAGCTTTGCTTCGTCTTCCCTTTCCTTTCTTTCTTTTCCTTTGCCCTTCTCGACTTTGACTTGTCATCTCTCAAAGCTCCCTCAAGATGGCGTCCCTCAATCTCTCCATAAACGGCCCGTCCATCAAGAGCAGCTACAATGGCGTTGTCAACGGCCCCCCGCCATCATCCGACTCTCCCACCTATGCCCATTGGGCACTCTTCTCAGTCCAGGCCCCTCTTATGAGTGCCTTCCAAGACAGCGGTGCCAAGGAGAGCATTCTCAAGGTTCAAAGCACAGGCGGTATGCGAGACAAGACGAGTTCCTCATGAAGCAACCACACACTAACCAGTACAACAGATGGCGAACTTGCCGACCTCATTGAGGATTTCAGCGAAGGTCGCATTCAATTCGCTTTCGCTAGAGTCAAGGACCCCAACAGTGGCCTCCCCAAGAGCATCCTGATCGCATGGTGCGGGGAGGGTGTCCCCGAACGAACCAAAGGCTACTTCACCAGTCACCTCGCCGCAGTTTCAAAGGTCCTCCACGGATACCATGTTCAGATTACCGCTCGCTCCGAAAGAGATCTCGAAGTTGACTCTATCATGCAAAAGGTGGCCGACGCTTCGGGCGCCAAGTACTCGGCCGCCAGCTCTGACGGCCCTCGTTCCAGCGCACCGCCTCCCGTCAAGACAAAGCCCGTCTTCACCCCCACCACATCCAGCCGAGCCAACCCTATCGTCGCTGCTCGATCCAAGAAGGATGAGAATGTGGATGAGGACGGCTGGGGTGCTGATGCTCCTCCTGTCACAAGGTCTCAGATTGAGAAGGTCGAGTCCGCTTACAAGCCCACAAAGGTCAACATTGCCGATCTTAGCAAGCAACCGACCGCAACTACCAGCGGAAGTGCCCCTGTCCAGCGAGACGATACACCTAGCGATGTGGTCAAAGGCGGCTACCAACCCGTTGGAAAGGTCGATATTGCTGCCCTTCGCGCCCAAGCTCAAAGGGATCAGGATGATAGACCGACTCCTGTAAAGGGTTCTTATGAGCCTGTTGGAAAGGTAGATATTGCTGCTATCCGCGCCCATGCAAAGAAGCCCGCCGCTTCCGAGGAGCCTCAAGAGGATGAGACCACAAAACCGGTCGCCGAGCGTATGGCTGCTTTCTCGCAGCCATCACAATCTGAGCGCATGACCTCGCTGCCCAAACCCAAGGTCGCCAACAAATTCGGAGGTGCAGCAAGCTTCTCAGGTACCAAGGCTCCCACGCCCGGTGGCTTAGGTTTTGGAGCTCCTGCTCCTGAGAAGTCTGCTCCCATCGGTGCCGCCAGCCGGACATTTGCGGACCAAGGCGGGAAGACCCCAGCCCAGCTCTGGGCTGAGCGAAAGGCCAGGGAGAGGGGTGAGTCTGTCGGTAGCAACAGTGCCCCGACTCCGGCTCCTGCCGCTGCTGGTAGCGCTTCTCCTGTGCAGGCCCAGAAGAGTGGAAATGAGTGGAAGAGTGGTTACGCTGGCAAGAGCTGGGCTCCTGTTCAGACTGGAGACTACGGCAGAGGCATTCCTGGACAAATTAGCCAGGAGAACACAGGCGAGCAGAACGAGGACACACCAGCATCGCCATCTGGAGTATCCGCTCTACGAGACCGATTCAAGGACACGATCCCCATTAGTGCTGGGGCTCCTCCTCCTCCTGCAGCCCGTCCTGCCCAAGATGACGATTCACCACCACCACCAGTTCCTAGTGATTCTCGACCTTCTGGAGGCTTTGCCCTCCCTGGTCTGCCCAACCGACCCGTACCCAAGGATGAGCAGTCGGATGACGAGCGTGAGGACCCCTCTGCCTACCAAACAGCCGCAGAGCGAGGACGTTCTCCTTCACCTCCTCGTGTTGCTGTCCCTGTCAGCCGTGGGCCCGAGCCTGATGTTGGAACTCCTCCTGAGCAACGTGCTCCTCCCCCGATCCCCCCTAGCCAGATTGATGTGCCCAAGGAGTCGGAGCTTGCTGATGACAAGGAGGTCTCCTCCACCGCCCGCTTCGCTGGTGGTGCGGCTGCTGGTGTCGCCGTAGGGGCTGCTGCTGGTGTTGGAGCTGCTGCCGCCGCTGGTGCTTTCGATCGTGAGCCCAGCCCTGAGCCTCAGCCTGAACCCGAGCTTGAGCGTGCTCCCTCGCCTGCTCCGCAACAAGCTCCTCAGCCAGCTCAAGAAGCCCAGGGTGGATACCGTGCTGTGATCCAGTACGATTATGAGAAGGCCGAGGACAACGAGATTGAACTGGTCGAGGGTGATATTGTCACCAACATTGAGATGGTGGACGAGGATTGGTGGATGGGTACCAACTCCCGAGGCGAGAGCGGTCTCTTCCCCAGCAACTACGTTGAGCTGATTGGGGATGACGAGCCCGAGCAACCGGCTTCCGCTGCGGCACCACCTCCCCCTGTCCCTGCGGCTGAGCCCGAGCCCGAGCCTCAAGCTCCTGCTGCCGCCCAGGCTGATGCCGGCCACACGGCCGTCGCCCTTTACGATTACGAGGCTGCGGAAGATAATGGTAAGACTCAGTTACTGAATATTGATGATGAAACTGTAACTGACAATGACTTGCAGAACTAAGCTTCCCTGAAGATGCCACAATTACCAACTTGGAATTCCCAGACGAGGACTGGTGGTTTGGTCAATACAATGGTCACACTGGCCTGTTCCCTGCCAACTACGTCCAGCTCAACCAGTAGACTTCGGACTTGTTTTTTTTTTATAGCAGCAGTTGAGCGCAATGTTTGGGTTCGGCTTACAAAACTTGACAGTAGATACGACTTGACGCAATCAGCTCGCGTACAGATTCAAACAGATGATTTATTGTTATATATCCATTTAAATTGGATTCTTTTCAACAAAACTTGATTGCATTCACAGTTGACGATAATATGATGGCGTGCATGAGTGAAGTCTTGTACAGCGGCAGAGCCTCGTAAATTATTAACTACTCGCCCGTTCCCGTTGTTGCCTCTCCCGTCCACCATCATTTTCGTAGCAAAAAACAGTATAACATCCAAGAAGCAGGGTATTCATGACAGCGTTTCCAAATTCAGTAAATAGGTGTTGTGTTTTCGGTTCATACTGAGCCTTGACTCCATCGGAGCCGAACTCGAAATCGTACTTGGGGTGGTTGGTGTTGACCGTTTAAAAAAGGCAATCGCAACACTCCATGCTAAAAGCAATTGAATGTTAGCAACTTTCATAACACTTCAACATGTGCAGCGCGCGACACTCAATTAGTGCTAGCGAGCAGCACTGATGACGCCAATGACTTCAATTGATCACTTACCAGCATTCACATCCTTCTTCAGCAACGCAGCAACAGCACAGGGCGGCCAAGCAACCAGCCAAGCAACCGCCGCCGCCGCCCTTCTTTCCACCGCTCTGTTGAGGAGGTGCCTGTTGGTATTGCATGGGAGGTTGGCCTTGGGGCGGGCCGTAATATTGTCCTTGTGGGGGACCGTACTGTCCCTGAGGAGGACCATACTGTCCTTGGGGAGGGCCGTATTGACCTTGAGGAGGACCGTAAGACTGCGAAATGGAACATTAGTAACTGCGACAGCACTTGGGTTATTGCGCCAGGACGACATACAGGTTGGGGGTGCTGGGGGTAGCCGCCACCACCACCGTTGTAGTAATCTTGAGCGGACATGATGGTAGAGATAGAGCTGTTGCTGATGCGATTGAGATGCGCGCTGCGATTATTCGATGAGGGCCTTTTCAATTGGATAAGACGCAAAAGGATAATCGATCCTGTATAGAAAAGAGGAAGATGTTGGGTGAAAGAAGAAGCTTGCGACTGCCTACTAACGTAAAAAGATTGAGGTCACGGGCGATGGAGCTTGCTTTACATAGGTATTACTTGACTCGGCAATAGCCACCAGAACTAAGTTGCCTTTGTGGAGTGCGACTGCGACTGCGAAAACAGCCAAGAAAGACTGAGTCACCCAATCATGGGATTTCCAAGGATACTGCAAGAAGCCTTAAGTACGCTAATAATGGTCTTTTGCGGGGAGTCCGTTCCTTGAGATCGGTAAGACGGCAACTCAAAGAACGGCAACCACAGTGATGTATGTATGCCATGCTACACAGGTACTAATCAATGTCGATGTTATTTTTAACCAAAGAAAACATTGGATCTGAACATGTTCATCATCAGCCACCTGTGGCGGTAAAAACAGCACAATCCCTGAATCAATGTTTCGTTTCACGGTACTAATGGACATCTTACCTTGGCACGCAATGACGAAGCTCTCAGCCTCTCGCCTTGACATAGGTGAGGTACGCGTAAACATGCACTCGGGTTGTCCGTGCCGTTCTTACCGACAACAGAGCCACTCAGCCACTTTAGCCTCTTCAAACTGCACTTTCTGGGTCCTTCCAAGCTTCAATGATACAATGAGCTACCATACTCTTTTAAAGAATCATCAGAGTTGATCAAATCTTTCACGTATTGTAGGTACTTTCTACTGTTTGACAGAGGTAGTGGGAATAGATACGATACTGGCCAAAGGTCACGTGTATCCCTCAGAGGTTGGCGGAAAATGATATAAACTTCCATTGTCTTTACTCTAGACAAGTGCTATTAAAGTAATCAGCACAAAAGTCTTTGACTATTCAATAAGCACGTCTCAATTCAGCATATCAACCAGTGACATCCACCAAGCACTTTTCACATTGTCAAGCAAACATCGATATTAGTGTTCTCTGATAATGAAGGACATTTCTTGGGCGGCGAGCTCCTCAGCCCAACGACCATCTAACTATCTAATTAAATTTTATGGAAAACATCCTGATTTTAGTAACGGTTCGACGAACGTGCGCTCTGGAATTTTTGCATGTCACGTTGAACAGACACTGCCCATTTCCCTAGATGCTCTCAAGACACTGCGCAGTCCGTGTACAGTATGCTCCATGCACCTAGAAAACTTGGGGCTACCGACTGGTTCCAAAGGCCTTGCCAAGAGACGTCGTCGACAAGATACCTAAGACTACATATGGAAAACTGGTATATAGACTGATCAGCGCCAAGAAATTGATCATATTGAGCTCCATCCCCAGTATATTCTGAACTGCGCTGGTCACTCCAGCAGTCTCAGTATGTCTACCCTAGACAATCGGTCTTAGTTAGGCTATCCTCGCGCTTGAACGAAGCAAACACCGAAACAGAGAATCAGATGAATCATTCACTCAATCTGTAGGTCCGGACGGATCTCCTCTCATCTATCTGCATTACTCCAACAGGCACATGTTGGACTCAAGCAGGCACGCAATTTACATCGACTCTATAACAGCATAGCATGCATTTCTCTGTTGGGTTCGAAGCAAGACGCAACACATGTAACCAAGTAAACCAAGTATTCTTTTATTCCAGGTTGCAGCCGCAACCAAGCACAATGCCCTTGAACAGGATCCGATAGAGATTGCATCCACTGCTTCAAATCATTAGAGCATGGGACTATCTGCAAATCTCGTTCCTTCTATCCCGCAACCCCTGATCTTGAAACTACCAAATATGCACAGCGCGAATTGCCTATCTTCAAGTCTGTCTGTTTTATTGCTCCTCCTCACCTTGGGGCTCCTCAACCTCCTCCTCATCGTCATCGTCGAAGCTGCCGGCGGGCACCTCGTACAATCGGAGGATAGACTTGTTGGGGTCCTTGACAAGCACGAACTTGGCGTCCGAGCTGGAGTTGCTGAGACACATGTCGGCGATAGTACGGACGATACCCCAACCGTTGTTGAGGGACAAGTTCATCTGGTTAGCGAAGTCACGAGGCTTCCAGCCGATAACACCCAAGACGACGTGCTTGTCGTTGGAGCGGGGAGTCACACGAGAAACGAAACTGTGAATTCAGTTAGCCAAAACGAATACTATCGCATGTAAGCAAAGAAACTCACCCAAGCTTCATCACGTCAGCGCTGGCGAGGATACTCTGCACTGTCCATCGGGCGAGCTTGCAGCTGTTGTTCTTCATCTCAGTAGCAACAACAGCACCACGTTGAGTAACGAGCTTGCTTCGCCAGTCAAGAGCACCACCACTTCCCTGAGCCTTGCTGTCGAACTCGTTGAGGGCGTGGATGCTCATGTGCTGATCTTCGCCGCTGATGGTGTTCCTCTGAACGGCGTCAACTTCTGTTCGGACGATGAGGTGAACGGGCTCCTCCTCGTTGGTGGAAAGGTCGAAGCGTCGGTACTTGTAGGCCTTGCTGGCAGGGGGGTCGGTATCCTCGGATGAGTTGTAGAAGGGGTTGCCGTGGGCCATGTTGACCTTGGAGGACTCGTTCTCAAGGACGACCTGGTTGGTGAAGTTGTGGTTGATGTATGTGGCCTCCTCAGCGAGGGCGTTGGGCTGGTTGATGGTGTCCTTGCTGCCGTCGGCGGCATCAAGAGGGGCGTCGGCAGCGTTCTCGTTGACTGTCACCATGTCAAGAGCGGCGTTATCACGCTTGTCGAGGAAGATCTTGTTGCCCTGTCGAGAAATGACGATATCCCAGGGGTAAACGGATCGAGGAGAGCACATAAGCATGGAGAGAATGCTGTCGGTGGCGAAGATGGTAGCCTCGTCCTTCTCAGCAAGCTCCTGGATGACGGGATCGGATGAGGTGGTGACGTTGTAGGCAGCGCGGTCGATGGGAGTGAGCTTCTTCTCAGCACCCTTGACAGGCTGCTTGTCGTAGGAGCGGTCATAGTGGTATAGGAAACCGTAGTTGTCGATATCCTCACCTTCGTCGGTGTCGAGGTTCAGCTTAGCCAGGCGGTTAAAGTCAATCTCCTCGAGCAACTTCCACTCGGCCTTGACGTTGATGCTGGCATCACGGTTGCGAGCAGGCTTGTCATAGTCCTTCCAGCCGAAGCGACGACCGCCACGACCAGCGTTGTTTCGGCCACCTCGGTCGTAGCCCTGTCGGCCACCAGCACCGGCACCACCCCTTGTAAGGGTAGTTCGTCCACCTCGGGCGCCGGCCTGACCTCCACGCTGGCCACCACGGCCACGAGTGAAGACGGCACCACGACCGTATCTTGACTTTGTCGAATCTCGGACGTTGCTAACGACGGAGAAGGTAGACTCGTCCTCGGCGGGAGGTGCGTTGAAAGTGATAGCGTGGCTGGCACCATAGACTTGTTGGTCTGGATGAGAGGTTCAAGTCAGCCAAGAGTCCAACAAGGACAAGACAAGAAAGAAAAGGTGTTTCCTTGGTCGGGAAAGAGTATTTTGGCGTAACCTACCTCGGAAGTTTCTGTTGTATTGTGATCGTCCACCACGCTCTCTATCTTTGCCCTCAGCAGTCCAGTCGGCCATGCGTCCCAGCTTGTCTCCCTTGGAGAAGGGCGCATAGGGCACGCCGTTGAGGGTAGTCTCTGATGTGACTGAGGGACCCCAGCCGTCGCCGGCGGGGCAGCTCTCGCAGATCTTGACGTAGTCGAGTGAATCCGTCATTTTGAATGATCTATATGATTTCTATATGCGCGTTCGAGTGCGCTTCGGTAGAAATCAGATGTATTCGGCGTCGGGAATCGGGAGCGGGGGATGCGTCAATCAACCTCTCGCTTCACAGGCGATGCTAGAATTTGGACATACACGATGAATTTGTGGTGGGGGTGGAGTGGGGCGCCAGTGAAAAAAACCCAAGCCCCGCGCTTGATTGTGCGCTGTCAGCCACTCAGCCACAGGTAGGATATCTAGAACCTTAGGGTAAGGCTGTCAAACCCATCATCAAGTTGTCTGGGTACAAAGACCATTCGTATAAGACGTCTCTAACGGTGAGTTCGGGATACAATAATAGAAAACACAACTAGTTTGAATGATAGCGCATATATATTTGCTGTCTTACCCACAATGGTCCCCATCTTGTCTCGTCATACACTCACACCACATCAGATATCTCATTACATTTGTCCTGCTTTACATTCTGCGAAGCTACTTCATTTACTCGCAAACCATGTTGTCCTTACCACTGAAAACATTATCAATGGCATCTCGCACCTCAAACTCCTCCATCACGGCACCAAAGCTTTAGCGTATCAGTTAGTACAAGACAAACAACAACGGTAGTATCACTTACCCGTAGCATCTCACTTTCCGAACCAGCTCTTCGCTCAACTTTCGGAAATCTTCAGCCTCAAGCTCGTTTGCCCTTGGGTGTGACATAAGTAGGCCCCATGACATGATGGGTGTCACTTCGCCGTCGAGATCGATGTTCTTGCTAAGATCCAAGAGGGTGGCCAAATCTGCCTTGGGAACCTCCCATGTCTTCTGGCTGGACTCATCACCCATAGGAATATGTGTTTTGCCAAAGGGTAAGCCCGGGCGTGATTCTGGAGATGGATCGGGTGGGCAGGATGCCATTAGCGCATGACCGCAAGGCTCGCCCTCAGGTTCAGCGGCCCTCTCGACCATGAATTGGATATGTGTCATGCAGGGCCGTTCTAGTCTATACAGAAGCAAGCTTGTTAGCGAACCTGATCAACAAAGTGCCTTGCCAAAGCTCACCCATGGCGCAAGCAACTCGCGTTATACCATACAGAGGGGTTACTGGGGATTCTTCGAATAGGAGTTATCGTACGTTAAAACGAAGTCAATTCCCGCCTGTTCCAACTCGGGATTTCCACGATATAGATGCTGAGGCATGCCATGTTGTTGCTGGTTGGGCATGAAGCCTTGATTGGCGGCCCCAGGAAGGTGCATAGGTGAGCCGACCGAGGGAGCCGTCGATTGCGAGGTCAGAGGAGAAGATCCTGTGTTAGTAGAGTCGAAACCTCGACTGGTCGCGCTCCCTGCCACATGTGGACTACTGTGTTGAAGACCAGCTTGTGCTAAGCTGTCTCGTAGCCGTTTGTTCTCATCAGCCAACCTCTCTCTGTCAAGAGAGACATTACTGAAAACCTCTTTGAGGCGGAGAACCTCGTCTTCGAGAGCCTTGATATAGAGTTCCTTTCTCTCTCGATGGGTTCTAATCGTTAAGATGTCATGTCAGGAACAAGGTCTGACTTTACTTTAGACAAGCAACATACCGTTGGGCCTGACGATTCAATTCCTGGCGTCGAGTCAAGGCAGGTTTGCTATTGGGCTTGGGTCCTCGCTTCTTTGGGGGATTTCCATCTGATATCATGAATCAGCATTGTTAACAGCATCATTAGACTAGGCTCGTCTAGAAGCTTACCGCGTGTTGTTCTCTTATCAGCCAAGCTTTTGTAGAGTTCGGGATCGAGGGAAGCTGCTGCGCTATCATCCTCTGAGCTTGCAAAGACTCGGTCCGGTGATAGGGACGAAGAGAAGGAACGCTCAGTTGCGCCCGCAAGATGAGCGTTGAAGGCAGACATTGCCGACGGACTGATTGGCCTCCACTCTTATCAGTGTTGAGGTGTCTCGGTCAAGGATTACAATCCCTAACGGTTGGAAGTGTATTGGGGAGACTAGAAAGAAGGGTGATGTAGCATGAGAAAGAGAAGTCACAAAGCTTAAAAGAGTCGGGTCTAGAGATGGAACATGCTGAAGCTGCGAGTGTCGTCACTTTTGTTTGTACAGTAGGTAAGTAATTCAAGAGAAGTTGTGCAGGGACCGACGATCAGGACGCGCCAACCTAATCAGCGTAGCGCAGCACAGCACAGCGCAGCCCACTATGTATGTGAAATACAATACACAGCCTGGCCTGGACTGAACTGTAATGATTTGAGATAATTGAAAGATGGATCAGAGGAACTGGGGCTGGCCGGTTGCTTCGTAAGACGGGAACGACTGAAGGGCGCGATTCTAGAACCGGCCGGGGGGGGGGGGCA